TATTTTTAATAGTTTCTATGATCTTGAAGCAATACTTTATTATATGCCAATACCTCCCAGACAGTATCCATTAAGGAAGAGTAATTGAACCAAGTAGAATTTAACTAACCACCAACTGAATTCAGCCAGCCTCAGCCCTCAGCCAGGAATGGGCACGACTGCAGTGATCACATCAAGGATTCTCCCTTACTACCCTAAGTCTGATCTAACGACTGCTGCTGTCAAATGATGAATAGAGACCAAAGCTGAGTTTGATATGGCTTCCTCCTCTGAGGAAACGAAGCAACAACTTGGCAAATCAACCACATTGGATTTGCTTTCCTAGAAGGCTCCAGTATCTGGTCTAACAGAACACAGTATAGGTTTGCCTTTTTGTTTGCAGGGTCTCTGGCTAAGGTGCTATCAGTTTAGAGTACTTGATCTACTAGGATGAGAGCCCACATAGCATTGTCTCGGAAAAGGGGACATGCTTTGGAGCCAAGGTGATATAGTAGTTGAGCCCATGACCCAAGAATACACTGATCATATTATCTAGCTCACCTGACAGTGTATTAGAGAGTACTGACACTGAAGCCAAAGGGCTGTCTGGTCTTGAATGTGAAAAGCTACAAAGATGAGGCACGATCCCCCAGAACACAGCATAGAAAGTCCTCTTTATTCTTATGTTTTGTCCACAGTAGGCACACTATATGGGGCCAGAACCAAAGTTGCTGGAGGAATGACAACCCCCACCCAACCACGCACACACTTACCATCTTTCCCAGTGTCCCACGGTGAGGGGAGGGGGGCTTTGTGCTGGGTTGACTTGGAACTTTAAGCTCTGTAGTTAAAGATCTAGGTCAAAGAGCACACTTTGACTCAAATTGGACTACAGGTTATAATAGCCACCTAGGCACTTTGAATACCTTGTACCTAGAGTCTAGCAGTCAAGGAAAACAATCACCCTGTTGCCAGGATTATTCACTACTGCCCCTAACCATCATCGAGAGGACAGCTTTTCATTTGGGGCAGAGAGAACTATATGGCATCCAGATGATCTACTCGAGTCCTTCTTATATGCCCTTCCCAGCTATATAGTGAAATGGACAAATGTAGTAACCACATTGACCACAGGCCCAACGTCTCAGGTATGAGGAGCTGTACCACACTTCCAAGGAATCAACCACAACAAGCCTCAATGGCAGCTGAAGGTTAAGTCTGGAATGGATGGTGAAAGGAACTATGGTCCAAGACTGCTGCTGTAGTTAGTTCTTCCCATTGATTTTTGAGCCACTGGAATCTGGATCAGCTGTTGACTTGAATGGGACAGGCAGGACCATGGTGGAGCTGGAATATACTGTCCAGAATCTTCAAGAAAGGTCTCATTATCCAGTGGTCAGCTTTTTCAGGTTTTGCCTACGTTTCACATCATCCCAGGGGTATGCTCTTCTAGGGTAAGCTCACATCAGATGGCTGATCAAGGCATGAGTATCAAGACATTACAGCTGGGATCACTCTAAAGGGCTATATACTCTGCCAGAATTCCCTGGGAAGTCAGTCAGTCATGGCTCTGTAAAAGCCTGTGCATTGTTGTTCAACTTCCTGGGTGTTATCCCACTTTCTCCTCCCCTCGTTCACAGATATTGACCCATAATAAATATACAGTACTCTAAATGCTTACTTCCAGAAAACATAAGCTGCTATCAAAATGGAAGGATAACCAAACTATTAATAGAGTTTTACTTTTGAGAGAGAGGTATCAAATTGGAATGGGATGTAGAAATCAAGGAAAGCTGTTTGTAATACGTGTACAAGCGTTAATGGCCACAATATGCTCTGCGATGTCGCGCAAATGTCTCAACAGCATTCACTAGTTCTCCACCTTAGTATAAATGACCTTTTGTTTCACTTCAAAATTGACACTTCCCCTTTGCCTCTTGCTATTAGGAGCACTGGTTTTGCTGCATTTAGAAAGAAAATTAAAGAGAGAATGCTACGGCACTCAAGATGTACAACATACAAGACTGAATGCTGCTGCTGTCATACAATAAACTTTTTATTGTTAGTAAGGAAAGTTCACATTAAAATAACGAGTTCACATTAAAATGATAGAAACTAGTGCAGTACATACATAAAGCCAGTAACATAGGTGTTTATTATGACTATCAAGGCATAAATGTATTATAGGTTATATATGTACTGTACCATTATATGCCAAGAACAATGACTTTGAGACATGAGATTCAAGTGTTACGTGTGGGAAGCTGCTGCACTCACTGTCGGACTCCATTTGCTATGTTTTGTTCTCTCAATTCCTGACCTCTACGCTGAAGGACCACAAATGTGTATGTAGTCTGACATTGCTCCAATGGGGGTTGTGTGGTACATGACTGTACACAACACAGATGGAAGCAAATGTATCACAATGTTTAGAGCACTGCTAAGTGGTGGGAATGAGCTACCTAGTTCTTTCCAAATGTCTTGACAATTTCTTAAAGTTTTAAAAAATAGACGAAGAAATAAATTTACCTCTTTATTTAAAATGAAATGAGGTACTGCGTGGTCTTTGCCCAGAGATGTCAAATTCTGTTGGTTGCACCAACTAGACCTAGAACTAAACACAACACAGAGATTCTGATGCATCTTATGATTTGGAATTTTCATTTCCATTATCATTGTCTCAAAAATGGTAAGCCCCACCCCCCAGTTCTCAGTTGCAGTTAGCTTGTTTTAAATAGGATTATGAAATTCTCTGGCATATCTTATAGCTAATGATGTATTAAGATCCAATCTTCCTAGTTTGTCTACTTGTAACTGTGTAAAACTTTTAGTAAGTTTTACTTGATTACCTCCTTTATTTCAATGATCCCCACTCTACTACTTTTAATTGTTGGGGGAGGGGGCACCCAGAATCCCTCTATTACCATTTAAACTTCTCCAGGAAAGGAAAGGAAGAAAATGTTTTGGAGCCTCTTAGAGCACATCAAACCAAGACCCAACCAAAAACTCTAACTCACTGCACTGAGCTGATTCTGACTCATAGCCACCCTTATATACGGGTTGTGAGACTGTCAATTTTTACAGGAGCAGAGAACCTCATCTTTCTCCTGTGGAGCAGCTGGTGGGTTTGAACCACCAACCTTGTGGTTAACAGACCAACACTTATCTGACAGCACCACCAGGGACCAAATTTGGGGTGGAGAAATGGGCCTACCACACAACTGGTGTGGTTGTTATGCAGCACTGAGGCCACCTGAGTTGCACTAAAGTTTTAGTTCTTCCTACTGATTTTTCTCATTTTTCACTGTAAGAGAGATCCAATGGAATCTAGATACTACTCTTTGGGCAGTTCAGTTGATTTCAACAAAATACCTTATTTTAAACTTGCAAACAAAAAGTACCAAGCATTTAACTCATCTTTCCTTAAAAAAATAAATAAATAAATCGCAGGGTGATGAAACAGTAGGCATGGAAATTTCATTACATAGAAATACTGCAACTAATCAGTTGGTAAGGTTATCATCATTCTGTAGCCCCTAATATATTGCTGATCTAGGCATTGACCATTAGGTTTGCTAACGTACGAGACAAACAGACATTAAGTGCCACCTGATAGACTGTCACACCGATGAAGTCATCTGTCCCTTAGTGACACAAATGGTGATGCACTCAACTAACTCACCCAGAGGTGTCTCTGAAAAACAAGCCAAACAGAAAGTCCATTCTGACTCCTAGGGACCCTATGTGGGAGACTAGTCGGTATAATGGTAGGTTTGAACCACTCACCTTACTGCTACCAGACACAACTACTGAAAATATTATGGGGTTTCTGAAATCAATGGGGCTGCCCTAGGTTGGAATCAGCACAAACAGCAACTAGGTTTTAAGTGGCAGGCCACTACCTTCTCCCCCAAAACAAAGTTATCTGATCAAGTCTGTGGATCCAAAACAATTTACAGGGAATATAAAAGGCAGAGAGGGCTATTGTAATCAAAGGGATCTGAAGAGCAAAAACGGGGTAACTGTGTAACACAAATAACCTGTTTCTTTGGTAAGTTAATTGCAAGGTAAAGAATTTATTGCAAGATGTAAACTTTTAATGGGATTTAATTTCAAATACTTGAGTACATTCATTTTTAGATGTGATCATGGTTTTTCTTCTCCATTTCAGTTCTCAGAGGTTTCTACTAGCACTGCTAACTGAAAGGTTGGTGGTGCAAACTCACCCAGAGGTGCCTCCAAAGAAAGGCCTGGTGATTTCATGGTCACTGCCTTGACAATCAAATGGAGCTCTGTTGAGCACTACCCATTGCCACCATGGGATCTAAGAGGACTCCCTGGGTGGCACAAATAGGTCAGCACTCAATTATTAACTGTAAGGCTGGCAGCTGGAACTCACTGAGGAAACCCTGGGACAATGTGTCCAAAGAGCCCATGAAGGCAGTTCTACTTTGCACACAGGGTGCCATGCATCAGTCAACTCAATAGCATTGTTTTATACATTTAGATCTTAAAATGTTCAATTAATTATTAATAAAAGCATATTAAATCTGGACTGCTTAAAAATAAATTAAGAGCAGCTATAAGTGGATATTTAATCAAGCTAAGGAGAAGTACCTGGAGTTTCACAATTTATTCTATTTTTTATGTATGGCTAAAATGTCGCATAGTAAATAATTTTGAGAGAGAAACCAAAAAAGAGTAATCACTTCAATTCTGGAACAATCTCTCTTCAGTTATTCTCCAGCTAGATTTGAATAACCAGTGAGGAAGCATTTGAAAAATAAACTTGAAGAGAACTTGTGGACTATTCTTAAGTAACGTAGAGGTCAGACATATATTTTCATTTCTAGCTCTTAATTCTTCAACCTATCTATTTAATACCTGCTGTCCAAAGAGATGATACATTCAGAAACAAAATGTACAGAATTGTATTACAACAGTCACTCTTCTGTCAAGGCAGCCTTGAAACAAATCCAACCTAATACTTCATTAAATACGTTTTAAGAAAAGTCATTACATTCAAAAAATTTTTTCTTTTTTATTGAAACACAAAACACATTTACAGCATGCAGGTTAACTTAAAATTATATGGCGTCTTCCCCAAACCAATGTTTTTTAATGTATCGTCAAGCCCTGAAAGTAACCGGCATGTTCCACAGGTAGACTCAGACTCTATCATTTCATGTCAAATCGAGAGTTATGCACAGTAGTTAGCATTCTTAAGTTAGGCAAATAATTTAACTGATCACCATGAATAAATATTACTTTTATTTCATCTGGTTTCTCTACTGAATCATTTATCAATAGTAATTCAGAGGACCGTAAAGATATCCAGTCAAAAAAAGAAAGATACTGAAAACTATAGTATCCCTGTTGTATATGATCAGAAATGTTCATTTCTAAGAGTAAGTGTTCCATTTACTGACTACCATCACACGAAGACAGCACAGCTCCATGAAAGCAAGTTTATGAGTGTCATGATATACTTGGTAACAGGTTTGAAATGAGAAACAGAAAAATAAGCATAATGATATTAAAATAAAAGAAGGTATATTCTGAACCACATTCTAGTTACGACTTCTTGTTACACAGCACCAATATCCGTGACGCAGTCATACTACTTACAGGAGTAAAACTACCATATGTAGACAAAAGAAGAAAGAAAAGTTCTGCTTCATTTTATGAATATTGCCAAAAAAGTAAGTTTTCACTTGAAAATAAAGTTGTCTGTGTGAATGCAACCAGATGTTTCTCCATTTAGAAAATTATCTTTCGTGCACTGTAGCACTTTTGGTTGTTGTTAACCACATTACTTCTATCTTACTGTACCAAGGTTCGTCTCAATTTTTGGAGTGTTTATTGTGATCAGTACTAAAAGCAACACAATCATTTTAAAGGCTGCAGAATACAACAGCAAGGATTTCTAACTGTTAAAAAAATAAATAAATTTATCTTTTAAATCCAAATTATTATAAAAGTGGAAATTACAACAGTTAAGGAAATAGAAAAATAAGCCAATTATGATCTCAGTCTTCTGACTATGGCTCCAAATTTAATACAAATATCTGTGTATAAAACTTTTCCAAAAAGTTAATCCTGCCAGCCAGATCTTAACACAGAACTTTAAAAGTTTCGCTACTGATCGAAGAACCTTAAATCCCCACCTTGTAATTTTTGCTAATATAGTTAGTCACTCTGACTGATGAAGGAAATATTGAAATATTTTCTCTATTACTTTTATAACTTCCTAAAATAAACTGATGATTAAATCACAATGTGGCTAAAAGAGGTACATAGTTCTAATTACATAATTATGGGCTTTAGGAGGAAAAACCCCCCAACTAATAAGGACCATGACCTGCAAACAGTTGACTGTCTTGAGCTTAAAAGAGAAATTATAGTGAATGACTTAATGTAATAGTTTAAAAGCACAATGGGGACTTCAGACCAAAAGCCTGAAGTTAAAGTCTGTGTTAAAAATACCTGCGTATTCACCATATATTTGTGCTGTTTATTTACATTTTCCCTCAATTTCCATAGGCTACAGATGTAGCTCATTATGGTATTAACATAAAATTATGTTTAATTCTATACCCTCACTATTTCAATACATTTAAGATGATAATTGAATTACCTGTCCAATTATAATTAGCTAGCTGCCTCACCGAAATGAAGTAGGGTATTTTGAGTCCATCAGCCAGATAAAAGTTATCGAATCAGGGAGAAATAGAACTCCTTTATACTCTCTTCTTGAACTTAAGATTTGCTTTGGATATTGTAAAATATTTCTGCTCAATATTAAGTTGGCAACAGGCATTTTATGGGATAACAATTAAGTAGCCTTATTCCCTCTCAACGGCCTACTTAAGCTAGGCTTTAGTGCTCAGTCATTTTCAGAAAGAAGGTCTGCGATGATGCATATTAAACCTAGTTATTTCAAGGAATTAAAAATATAGTACTGACCTGGTGTATTTCATGGGCATGTAGTGTTGCTAGTAGTAAAATTTAAGACATCTAATGTATACATTCTACTTTCCCTAAAACAAGGAAGATGTTTTAATAAGAGAAGAACAGGCAGCAGTAGCAGCTGGGTTATTTAAACCGAGATTTAAAAATGAACCTAACACATGCACAAAAACAGATTCCTATACGGTAGTTAGCTTGGCACAGTGAAGACTAAATTTAAGACATGAAAGACAAACTGTGTAATAAATAGGGCCACAGTTGTAAACTGCCATCTGTTTTCTCTCCTAAGACGCCAAAATTGCACTCTGGTTGTGCTGGGAAGCAGCGGAGTTTACAAGAAGAGTGAGTAGGAAAGAGCTGTACAGGCCAAGGACCATTTATACATATAAAAAACATCAACAACAAAAGATAACTTGACAGTCCCCAGGGGGCAGAGGTTAAAGCCTTTGAATGACTGCTCGATATCATGCCCTCTTCTTTCTTCGATTACTTTCAACAGCTGAAAGTGGAAGAAAACAGACATCTTTTTAGTTATACAAAAAACTCATGGTTTTTCTTTCAGACAATCAGGAAAAATAACTTTAAAAAAAATTATTAAAAGTATAATGTTTTCATCAGTAGTTTCAAGCACTTCCCCCAACACCAAAGACAGCAATATTAAATGACAACACCTTCTTTTATTTCTCCCAGAGATGAAGCTGTGTATCAATCAGCAGGGCAGTATTTAAAAGGAAATCAGTCTTTCAATTGATTATCCTTCCCAATAGAGCTGAGTGGCTGAAGTGTTTTGTTTTAAAAAAGGAAAAACGGCTAATAAAAAAAGGGTCAATGGTGATATTCTTTTTTTTTTTCCTTCAAGCTTTGCCATTTATTTTTATTTTTTTTCCTTCATTAAAAAAAAAATTTAATCATTTTATTAGGGGCTCATACAACTCTTTTTTTTGGGGGGGGGGGCTCATACAACTCTTATCACAATCCATACACACATCAATTGTGTAAAGCGCATTTGTACATTCATTGCCTTCATCATTCTCAAAACATTTTCTCTCCACTTAAGCCCCTGGCATCAGGTCACTTTTCCCCTCCCTCCCCGCTCCCCCCTCCCTCATGAGCCCTTGATAGTTTATAAATTGGTATTTTGTCATATCTTGCCCTGTCTGACGTCTCCCTTCACCCACTTTTTGGTTGTCCGTCCCCCAGGGAGGAGGTCACAACTAGTTCCTTGTAATCGGTTCCCTCTTTCCTACCCACTCTCCCTCTACCCTCCCTGTTTCGCCACTCACACCACTGGTCCTGTAGGGCTCATCCGCCTTGGATTCCCTGTATTTTCAGTTCCTATCTGTAATGGTGACATTCTTTTTTTCCCTTTTTACAAAAGTTTATTCTTAATGTATAGCAGGCTCCAAGACAACACTTCATTCTAACTATAAGTGGCAACAAATGTTCTAGCAGGGAATCCAGATGTTTACACAGGAAAGGAATCAAGGGTCACCATTGCCTCAGCCACCAAGAACAGCTTACTGTTTGCCAGATTTCTTAATTCCACCTGTGGCCAGGGGCCCCTTCCCCACGGCCTTCGCCTTTAGCTCCTCCAGTTTCTTTTGTTCTTCCTTCTGTTTCTGCTTGAAAACCTTATCTTCCTCGTCCATCTCCTTGTTCTGCTTCTTGGGTTGTTTCAGGGGCTTCTTCTTGCCACCTTCGCGGCCCGACATGGCGCCCGCCGCCCCTTCCCCAGACCTGCCACCCAATGGTGACATTCTTAAACCAAGAATCACTAGCTATCAATGTTACATAAATAATACCAGCAAAAAATTGTATGGGAAAGAGGAAGCAGGAATAAACAAATGCAAATGGTAGCAAAATTAATGGTGAGATAAACAACTCCAGTAGCCTTGAGGTAAAACTGCCTAATCAACTTTGCATTTGTTAAAAATCCAACCTGTTCAAAGTATACAAGCTAGGAAACCAGCCCTATGAATCTGGGTACTAAGCGCACCAATGTTATTAATACAATCCCATCCAAATAAACCAAGTGTTTTAAAATGCTTCTCTTCACATTTAAAAAATAATCTAAAAACCCCCCCCCACACACACACACACAAATCAACCCACCGAGTATTTAGTTTTTCAGCAATTTGTCACTTATGTGGAAACGGTCGTCAAACATGGTTGATGCAACAGTTTTAAAAAAAAGCACAACACAAATGCTTTGAACTAGCAATAAATGCCTGTAAACTAATTATACTTGTATAATTTCAGGCACTGAAAACCCATTTGAGCTAAGGTAGCTAACTCCCTCACATGCTAAATTGCTGACATTACACTGGGATTAAAGAAAACTTTTCAGGTGAAACAAAACTATATTTACCAAAGGTCATGGACCATTCTTCCTGCAAATGAGTTCAACGTTTACATCTACCATGTATACTCGAGTATAAGCCGAGTTTTCCAGCACATTTTAAATGTGGTAAAATCAGGTGCCATGGCAGATATTTGAGTCGGCTTATACTCAAGTATATACAGTGTACTTTAATGGAGAGCAATATCCCTAAAGGATCAGCTTTATTATCTATATTGTATATTCTCATGCTTTTACCAGGCCCCTTGCCGCTCCCCCACCCCAAGTTTGCACTTCCTAAGAGATAGAGAAAAGCAGTTTGGACCTCCTGAATACCCACTCCATGCTAAGTAACATATTCATTCTTAAGAACTTTCTATTACGAAAATGGTGCTCAATATGTTCAGACAAGAGAGAGAACTTTACTTGGTATGAAAACGATCTAATATGTCTGCTGATGTGACGCTGCATTAGGCACATATAAGCTACAATAGTCTTATCAAAATATGTTTACTCTGAATCTAGTAGTTACGGATTGAATGTGTCCTGCCAAAATATGTATATTTATAAGCCCTATATTTATACATAGAAAGCCTGGTGGGGTAGTGGCTACATGTTGGGCTGCAATTGCATGGTCGGACGTTTGAAACCACCAGCAGCTCTGTGGGAGAAATACTGGGCTTTCTGCTCCCTTAAATAGTCTCAGGAACCCCGTGGTTCCTGAATCAGGGGGGTCGCTATGAGTCAGCATTGACTCAGTGACAGTGAATTCATTTGTGATATACATAAGAGCTTGCTTGGAAATAGAGGTTTTCGTATGTTGATAAGATCAGAACAGAGTAGCCAGAGTCCAAAACTAAATCATTTCTAAGTGGTGTGTGTCTCACCGAAAGAGCAGACTACACAGAAATAAACAAGAGGGAAGAAAGACGCTACACGAGAAAGGCTAGGAACACAAGGGTACCAAGGTTTGCCAGTATTCGCCAGCACTGATGGCTAGTTTAGATTTTGGGCTACTTATAGGATTCAACCAAATGTAAACATTGGTAGACTGTATTCCAGTTTAGACAAGAGTTGTAAATGACATTTTATTTATTTATTTAAAAAAATCACTATATTGGGGGCTCATACAACTATCACAATCCATCCATCCATTGAGTCAAGCACATTTGAAATGTTACATTTTAAGACACATTAGGTATTTAAGACACAAATCCATAATAGTTTTATGCTAACAAATTTTAGATAAGTCAAAATGCAACTAACTGTTTAAAAAGTAACTTGCTTCTTTTCACTGTATGTCTCTTTTAAATCCTGTATTGTCACAAAAGTTAAATTGTTGGAAATACGAATTCCCAAAAAGTTTTCTCTCCTCAAACGGAAAGCTAGTGCTCTATAAAATGTGAAAGTGAATACAAGCAAGATTAAAACAGTATGTAGTTTGTCAAAAACAATTGACAGTAAATCATTTTATTTAGTCATCTGATTTCTAAAGCACCTACACATCCTGGGATTTCTTCAAAAAACTCAAACTCATTGCTATTATGTAGATACCAACTCACAGCGACATCTGTAGGAAACCCACTGCCCCTGTGGGTTTACAAGACGGTAACTGTTTACAAGAATAGAGAGCCTCATCTTTCTTTGCCAGAGCTGTTGGTGGTTTTGAACTGCTGACCTGGTGGTTATTAGCCCAATACATAACCAATACCCTTACTGGGGCTCTTTCTGGGATTTCTCCTCCACCTCCATCCCCCTTTTCCTGAATGTCTGAAATTTCTATAACCTTGCTCTGTAGATATTGTAAAGCAAGGCCTCAAACCCTTTCAAGCTGCTCTTGCAAGCACTGTAGGAATGCACAGGGTTACTCCAAACCTAGGCACGCTGGAGGCTTGCAATCTGGGATTTCTTAGAGAGTTAAAATCTGAGTTCCTGCCTTAAGATGAAATATCACAAAGCTATTGACTAATTAATCATGTTGTAGAAGAAAATGTTTCAAATGCAACATTTTAAGATTATAACATTAAAAAAAGAGCAAGCTACAAAGTATAATATATATAGTACAATAGTTAAAACATATTACTAGAGCACTTATCAGCAATTTCAATTTTAAAACAAGATGCTTAATTAGTTGTTTTTCTGGGTTTTTCAATTTACTTTGCCTGATGATACTTTCTATTTCGAACACTTGTTAAATCAGAGAAACGAATCATTGAGATGGCAAAAGGTGATTCCTTCACAGTTTTCTTATTTGCTTTTATATTTTGTGATTTTGGAGAAATTTTACATAGCAAATTAGGTTCCCATCGAACAATTTCTGCACTTATTGTATTGTTCAGTAACACGTTATACTTTTCACAAAGTGGGAGCATTCTCAAGATTCCATTTACATCAACTCACGACACCGAATTGTTTAGCAATCCATGATGAAAGACTCCATGCAAACCAATGGTTCAAAAGCCAGATATGGGGGAGGGAGGGGGAAAATGAGCGAACGATATTGAGGGCGAAAGTAGAGGGCAAATGTTTTGAGATTGATGAGGGCAAAAGGTGTACATATGTGCTTGACTCAATGGATGTATGTATGGACTGTGAGAAGAATTGTATGAGCCCTCAATAAAATAATTAAAAAAAAAAGAATGAGGGTAACAAATGTACAAATGTGCTTTATACAATTGATGCATGTATGGATTGTGATGAGTTGTATGAGCCCCCAATAAAATGATTTAAAAAAAAAAAAGCCAGATATAAACTACCAACCTGTGGCCACATGTAAAAGCTTACGCTTGCTTGCTTCCTCCACCACGTACAGCCACTGGCTGGCTGTTCTGTGTAAATGCACCCCCTCCGCGAATTGCACTTGGATGAGTTGGAGAAGCTGCAGGATGTTGCCCAGGTCGAATAGGTTTAGCTATCATGAAAAATAAGAACTAACTTTAAAATAAAGCTTAACACACAATAACAATGACTATCTAGGTCTCTTCTTTTTTTACTCATTGCAAATTCCCAAATCTATTTGTTTTTCTTTGCCTTTTAGTTTCTCACCAAATTCCTCTTTTTCTTTACATTGATTGGTTACATCTTTTCTCCAGGAGCCTACATATTAGTAGCTGCTGTCGAATCAGCTGCTGCCACCTGACTCATGGTGAGTAAAGAGCACATCTCATAGCAGGCCTTTTAATCCTAGAGCTACAGGGTGGGTTCAAACGCTCTAGGTTAGCAGCAGAAAAGCTACGGGCTTGTACAAGCCGGCTCCACAACCCCTCAGCCAGTGTTTCTTCCAAGGCATGAAGTCAGGCTGATGGCATGTTTCTGGTGATTCTCCCTTGCTCTGTACAAGTTCTCCTCTCTCGTTTTGTTTGTTCTCACTCCTATAAATACAGCCATGCCTAGGTTTCTCAATTCTTCTCCATGCCAGCCCATTAAAAATCAATCAGATTATGTTTCCAACCAGGCAGTATTCAAATCAAAGGTTTAAAGGTGTTAATGTTCTACTAACTGACCAATTTGGGCAGAATGTCCTCTTCTGGCCATATTCTTTGACCTCACTGCTTCCTTTATGCGATCTACTTCTTGCTGATAGCGTTTGCGATCACGAGACGCATTTTCTTTGGCTTCTTTCAGTGCTGTCTCCAAAGCCTTCACTCTCTCAGCTGTAGCTCTAAGTCGCTTTTCCAACTTAGGAAGTTCACAGCGAAGATCTGCATTATCACGTACCAACTAAAGGTACATAAAGAAAATTTATCTAGGTTTAACAAGGCGAACTGAAAAAATAGAAACATTTTACCATTTCTCTTTAGAAGGTTACACTACATTTTATAGTAAGGCTTGTTTTCCATTAAGCTAATTGAAGCATAAAACATAACAATATATATTTTTTTCATAAGATTATATCTTATACCTATTTCTCTCTATTTTTCCTCCCTCCTCACTCCGCCCCTCCCCCAGGAACCCTTGATAATTTGTAAATTATTTTGTCATATCTTGCACTGTCCAACGTCTCCCTTCACCCACTTTTCTGTTGTCCCTCCTCCCCCAGGAAGTTATATATAGATCCTTGTAATCGGCTCCCCCTTTCCATCCCATCCTCCCTCCGCACCTATTATTTCTCTTACACATATTAATTTTATTTAATTTGAAGGATGGGAGATGATCGTTTCCCCCTACAACTTGAAGATTAAGTTATTATACTTGTGATAGACCACCAGTTAAGACACTAATCTGGTGTAAAGGAGCACTTTTCATTATTCTAAGTCAAGTAATCATAAACTTAGTTTTTAGTATGTATTAAAGACAAGAGAAATAAAATGTCTTTAACCATACTCTTGTGCAAACAGGCATACAAGACAAAAATATAGAACAATTACATTACGAAACGTTTTTACTAGTAATCTTAATCATACCCTGATAAAAAGTAAGCAGAACCATAGTAAGCACTACTTATTCATTATATATTTCATATTCTGAACACATTTTTGAATTGAACATGAATTGTAAACACATTTTTTAAAAGTTCTATATTAACTACAAAGACTTGCCCCCCCCAAATAAAAAGACTATGAATACAATTTTTAAAATATCAGACTAGAAATACTACAGAAAAAATAAGACAATATGCTTCCATTGCACTTTTATAAGTTTACTCATTAAAAAATAATTCCAAGAGTTGCTAGGGGTTCTAATAGATTAGTAAGAAAAAGGATCAGGGTAAAAAATTCCTTAGCGCTTTAAAAGATTTAAGTATTTACGACCACAAAATTCTGCTGCCATAAAACATCCTTTCTTACCTGTTTGTGCACTTTAGTGAGTTGTTCAAGATTATTTTCAAGAAAGGAGATTTTTTGCTTTTGTGCAGCACTGCCTCCGGTGTCATCAGAATCGATCTCAGCACTCTGAAGAAGAACGCGGGGAAATTTTACAGATCACAAAATCCAAGCGCTGTAACTACATGGCCAATTTTACACCAGTTGTAAAAAGTAATTTTATTTATGAATTACACACAATAAGTGTGAATTTTAGCCAACTACCTACACCTCAGCATTAATATATTACCTTTTTAACTCTGGTGGCCAGGTCCTGAACAAAAAGCTTCCTCAGGTTATGTAAAGTCTGGAGTTCTTTTGCCTTGAATTAAGAATAGCAATTATTTTGAGTATTCAAACTACAATTTAAAATAAGGCAGGGTTGGGAAGGGACGATGCCGATGCATAAAATACCCTCCAATCCTATGTATTTTCAATCTTTTCTTACCACTGTCTCTTCCAAACCCTTCAAGTCTTGTCTCGCTTGTTCTCGTCTGTCTTGCATAACTCTACAGTGAGAGAACATAAATATGTATTTTCAACTTTGATTTCCTAATGTCCGAAAGCCTGAAATCAAATCTTTTTCATCTGGAAGGATCAGTTCTTACATTCAAATCAATGAAGTTGGCAGCTATTAAAAACAGTGCATCTATGTACCTTTCAAAGAAGTTTGCATATGCTTTTTATAATCTCCTTTTAAATGTGTTGTTTACTTTAAATAAATATACCTCCTCATATGGCAAAGGGAGAAGAGAATTGAAAGGTGATAAAATTCAAACAAGGACTGTTATTTTAGATGACGTCACATATAACATGCTCTTTGTCCAAAAGAGTTCTAACTTGGGATTACAGAGAGTATAAATTTTAAAACACTAAAATATTTGATCTATTTTATACTCAAATTATTCAACAAAAATTTTGGCTAATGATTCAAAAGAAACTATCATATAAAATTTACTGATAGTGTGAACATCCCTAATAACAGCCTGCTTATTTGCCAATTGTCTACTGCAAATTTCAGTTATGTAAAAACAATTATAATCATATAAATTTTTTTCTGCTCAGGTTCTAGCTAACTAAATATTACAAATAATCTTGGCAAAAAATAAATAAATAATCTTGATAAATGACACTTAGTAAATGAAAAATGATAAAATGTTCTGTTTAGAAGGCTAAAGCAATCATGTTCTTTATGTAAAAATCAAACGATACAAATTCCATCCACCCTTTTTGGGGGTGGGTGGGAGATAATGCAATCTTTTGAAGTATTCGATACTATGTTTTAGGTATGATGGACCCCTCCCACCCCCTCCCGATGTCACAGGGTAACAAAGAAACAACACACAGGTTGCTAAATGCAAATCTGCATTGTGATCCTCATTGAAATACACCTAGCTCTCACTGCAGCAGTTCAAGATGCCACTGGAAGTTTCTAGGTATAAATCAAACCAATTCAATTTCAGAAAATCACACTTCAGCGAACAGATCCAATAGAAATGTAAGTTTTTACTTTTTAAACTCTAAGTAAGATTTACTCACGTAAGTTCATGTAGTTTCCGGCTCTTTTCCTGATCTGTAGCTTTCAACTTCTCATGCTCTACTCTCAGACGCTCCTGTTCTAACATCATTTTCTGGTTCTGACTGATAAAGGAGAGGGGGGGAAAAATCCCACAATATTAACATCAGAGTTTTTTGAATCTGAGAAATTACTCTGAACTATATGTAGCTATATTAATTAAACCAGATGGAGATTTGCAGGGACAAAACCATCAGCAGCATCTCATAAAAATCTCAAACCAGCTCACCCAAGGCCTCCTCTTACTCTGTCCCACTGATCACTGGGGGAGAGCGAGAACAGAGACTCTGCTACTTAGCAGCTATATGAAGGGGCTTCAAAAATTTTATGGAAAGATTCCATTATCTTTCAGTTCCATTTCTCCCCTCAATTTTTGAAGCCTCTTTGCACAATATTTTTTCAGATTTTGCTTAAGCCATGATTTATTCTTCTATGGCTTTCATCTCTCTACATCCTTTACTATAATCCCATTATGTAAAACCTGTGTCTTGAGCTTATTCATAATTTTGTTTACTTTTCTCTGGGCATACAGTTATGGAAGTAGAAAACAATGTCATGCTATCTAAACAAAGATGACAACTTTTACTTGAAACAAACAACAACAAAAACCCAACCCCCAAATTTTAAATTCACAATTATCAATAACGTTTTTCTGAAAAAAGGATTTCTTTTTAAAAAGACAAAGAAATTACTTGGAAACTGTTCACATCCTGCAATAATGAATTCAAGTTGGGAATCCCCACCTTCGCCCCACGTATACATTTAGATAAAAAAGCTAAGAAAATTGAAAAAAAATTTACTCGGTACTTAAGAAATGAGAAAAACGGGAATGAAAAAAATTCAATTTCAATGCAAAGTATGGATTTCTAATAAGGACATACTTGTGTTGTCCATCAATAACCGGTTACGGTGGACTACTGAACAACATGGGAGAATGGGCTTAAGGGCACTGACTCCCTGCACTCCAAATTCCATGTAAAACTTGGAGCACCACATAAACATAACCACAAATTGTTGACTGGAAGCCTATCAATAATATTAACAGTTGAATACCACACTTCGTATGTTATATGTACTATATAGTCAGCCAACACATAAAAATTGTTTTCAATACGAGATAAAAAGGTACTTTGCAAAAAGCCCAGTTTTCAAGCCCACTGGTATAGCTGGACCTACAACTTCACAAATGTCCTTTTCCTTTTTTACAGTAGTCCTTAAGCTGGATTGATTTATCTTGAAATGGTGGGCAACTGCAGCGGCAAACCTCAGTCTAAGACACTTACCAAGCAATTCAACTTTTCCTTGCACTCTTTTCTGGACTCACTAGTGAACTTTGTACGGTGTTATTCAAGGTTTATGGTATGGCAGTGAACACGAGAACTGCAAGAGACACCCTTCTACTGCGATATGTAAGTTACTGGAGAAACACACTGCTCATGGGCAGATGCTTAACATAACAGTTCAAACCTATGTTGTTCAAGTGTTTTTTCATCTAAATACCAATTTCTCTGAATTGGTTTCTAAGTATCTCTGCTAAAGAGCAAGAGGAAGAACAAGAGCCTAGTACTCACTCTTGAAGATCAGTAATAAGTTTTTCTTTGGCTTCAACCTCATCTCTCAGACTACTGATTTGTTTTTGATGAGTTTCTCGGTGACTTTGGATCTGTTGTTCAACAGCTTGCTAGAATTATTGGGGAAGAACGGGAGGAAGAGTGTTAATGTAGATCAGAGTAGTCAAAATAAGTCATGAAGTAAAGCTGTTAGAATGCACCCTGATGTGACACTTACCTTCACCTCATTTGCAGTTTGAACCTTGTTTAAATGCTCTTTTTCCATTTCATGTACTTTCTCTGTTTGGGTACAGGAAAAAAAAAAAAGAGAGATGAAATTAGCCTTCAAGTTGGAAAGGAAATAAGGCAATCTTCTAAAAGTCTTCTAGGTCTACATATAATATACAACTTCTTAACTGTGAAATTCCAAGTTGATCATTCCCACATTCAGACCCATTTTCACATTAAAATGTATGATTTATTATCGCAAGCTGTTTATATTCCCAGCAATCCCTTTCAGTGTGAATGAGTTTACTATAATTAAAGAATACAAACGTATTTCTTAAAAACAATAAAGAACTCATACCTTGTGCTCGAAGCTGGACTAGTTCTTCACTCAGAGAATCAACAGATTCCTCAAGCTGTCTTTTCTTTTGCTCTACATTTTGAAGGTATTCAGTCAATGATTTGATTTTTGCTTCATGCTTTTAGGGGGAAAAATATACCAGTATGAAGTGGGGGAAGAAACTCCTCATGCACACATTCTGTTGTTAAAGATTACATGTAAGTAGGTTTTTATATTATCTAGACTTAGAATGTTAAAGGGTTCTAAGGCCCAGAAGACTGAAATATGAGATAGTGATTTCCAGCTAGATCACCCCTTTGCTCCTTTCTTAACTCCTATCCCGAAAGGGCCATGTGTTCATTGCCAAGTCTGAACAAATCTGGTTCCTGAAGCCCAAATTCATCATTAGTCACATCTTACCAGCAGAATTTCTACACTTAACACACATTAACAAACATATTTGTTTCACAATTCTTGTGAAGAAACGATCTCCACTAAGCTTTGAATGCTATGACAAAAAAGACAAACCATACAGAAGTTCATGTTTTGGAAAAGTTTCGTAATAAATGTGTAGCATCCATTTAATACATAAAGAAATGCTGTCCGATAACACATACTTGAGAGATACGAAGCTGGCAGGCTGCTAACTCCTTTTCATTTTCTTCCATTTTTTTGTTGCTCTCTGTTTGTGTGCTTTCTAACTGTTTGCAGCGTTTTACCATAGTCTTTACTTCTGATTTCATTTTGCTAATATAGAGTCTTGCAACAGTAAACTCTTCATCTATCATGCCAGTTCCTTCAGGCTGCTGGGAGAAAAGAGTGAAACAAAAACTTCAAGCCAGTAACTTTCACATGCGCTTTTACCATTAGATTCTTTGGGGGAGAGGGGTTATTTACTTATTTCCAGTAAGCATACACAATATAGAGCTTATTTATGCCTTTAGATTTATAAACTTAAAAAAATGTTACATGTCGACAAGTTAAAAAAATTTTTTTTAAAAAACCTAAGTTTAAAGTTTACTGTGTGCATGTAAAGCCAGCTTAAAACTTAACAATAAGAGGATGTGAAGGCTGCAGTGAAAGAACAATTGCTGAGCTCAGCAAGGGAGAGTTATGGTCACTGTATAGTCCCAATTTTCATGTGAAGTACACATCAAAAAACAAGACAGCAGCCAACACCATAGGGAAGAATAACGAAGTCAGAGGACTGAGATTATGACTTAAGAGTCTTACTTACAGAGTAGGAATCAAGAGAGCGGAGTACCAGTGAAAGAATAGACAAATAAGTAAATGGAGCAGAAGAGACCCAAATAAACAGTCAACTGATCTTAGTAGAAGAACAAAGACAATTCAACGGAAAAAAGAAAGTCTTCAGAACTAAAACTCCACCTGCTAATGAATCTAGCTCTAGGCCTTACATTGTTCACCAAACTTCTAAAAGCCAACATAGGAGGAAAATCTAGGTGACCTTAGGATTGGTGATGAGTTTTTCAGATAAAACTCCAGTCAATAATAATTCATGGGGGGAAAAAAGATGGGTACATAGGCCTCACTAGACATTTCTGCTCTCCCAAAGATACTGTTAAAACAATGAAATTATAAGCAGGTTTTTTTGGGGGTGGGGGTGGATGGAAGTTGCAATATATCTGATAAAGGACTTGTAGCCAAAATATACCAAGAATTCTTACATTTTATTAAAAAAAGTATACAGATGGCAAATAATCATCTATGGTAAGATGATCAACACCATGTCAGAAGGAATTACAATTTAAGAGAGATACTACCACATGCTACTGTCTCCAGACCAAACTCAGTGCCATCGAGGTGAGGCGGATTCACAGTGACCCTATAGGGTAAGGTAGAATTGCCCCAGTGAGTTTCCAAAATGGTAATTCTTAACAGGAAGAACAAAATCTCATCTTTCTCCAATGGAAAGGCTGGTGGTTTCAAACTGCTGAGCTCTTGGATTGCAGACCAACTCATAACCAGTATGCCATCAGGCCTCTTTCAACATGCTGGCAGAAGTGCTAAAATCCTAAACACAGATAACACCAAAATCTTGGCAAGGATATGAAGCAACCAAAAAACTCTCATTCACTGCTGGTGGTGGGGATGCAAAATGGTACCACTTTGCCAGGTGATCTAGCAAGTTCTTATAAAGATCGACATGGTTCTAACCATATGATCCATTAGTTGTGCTCTTCAGTAGCTACCCAAATGGGTTAAAAAATTATATTCAACAAAAACAAATGTTTATAGCCATTTTATTCACAACTGTAAAAAACCTGAAAGCAAACAAAGATGTACCAACAGGTAAGTGAATAAACTATGGTATATCCAAAAGAAACAAGCTAGCAAGCCAAGGAAAGTCATGAGGGAACCTTAAAGTCACATTACTAAACAAAACGAAAAAATTGTCTGAAAAGGCTACATGCTGTCTGATTCCACCTCTATGGTTTTCTGAAAAATGTTAAGCTATACAGAATAGTAAAAAGATGAGAGGCTGCCAGTGGTGGGGAGGGGTTGGAAGAAATATAAAGCATGCAGGGGATTTGTTAGGACAGTGAAAGTATTCTATGTACTACAGGAATGGTGGCTACATGACACTATGTATTTGTTAAAATCTATGGAACCGTGCAATATAAAAAACGCATGAAACAAATATAACTACTACCTACTACTGTTCCAATCAGAATATAATGTATGATAATTTACTAACAACATTTTTAAGTATAAAATCTTTTATGTAGTAGAGGACAGAAACAGACGTGCAGTCCAAAACACCTTACTTTTGCTAAGTTTACTTAAGCATCCATTATTCTCTTCCTCTATTTAAAACAGTTAATACCATCTATTACACATGAAAAGAACTTTGTGAAAAATAAAGTTAACAAAAGTATGACTTATGGAAAAAAAAAAGTATGACTTACGTACATATAATTATACTTAATGTTCAGTTATTATGTTTACCTTTACATCATTATTTCCTACAGCAATTCCTATTTCTGCAAGGTCTTTTAATAAAGATGCCATCATCTCTGTTGCTCGTTTTTTCTGGTGGTTTGTCATTTCCTTAAGTTTCTGAAGCTCAGCATCTATACTTGCTAAAGTTACCTAAGACCAAAAAACAAGAGTACAGTTAAATCTGTGACATAAAAACTCAGTTTAGTACTTATAGCCTTGAGACACTTAAAAAATAGATGCAATTTCCAAATGCTGCTATAGTATTGTCTACTTTTGCAAACTGAGTCTTGAGTAATATTTAGAATCAAAATGACAGTTATCTGTACTTTCTTTAAACTCACTCAATAAAAAGAAAACCCAAATGATAATAATTTTATTTGATATGATACGCAATTACTTATGAGCTAGTGATAAAATATCACTTCCTGACTTAAATGACATTAATTACAAATTTAAAGTAATAGCTCTTTTACCAGCAACAAAAAAGTTCCACACTTTTGAAAATTCCAACTCGGCTCATTTTAAAACTACTCATTATATCTCACATCAGATACTGCATTTTAAATGCAGCATACTATCTTCTAGTCGATATCTTTCAGTAAAGACGTTATCATCTTTGGCTTATTTCTTTGTTTCTGAGTATCAATGGAGTGTATGTTCACCCAGTTTAATTTATAAATCTCATAATCTAACAGGTTTAACTTACTAGACATTTCCTCTAACAACAAATAAAAATACTGTCAGCATATGAAAAGATGCTGAATATTAAGGGGTTTAGAGCTTCTATGGCTAGTTTACTGCATGAGGGATTTTAGCTTCACAATCCAGATACAAATGTACCCATTTTAAAGGCTGAAGTCAGTGACCATGTGCAGGGCAATCTGCTCAGAGGCGCAAGAAACTTCTGTTGTTCCTCAAATGAGTAAGTAGGTTTGCTAATAATTTAACTAATCAAGACTTACAAAGATATCTTGATATCCATGGTATTAAATTGCAACTTCAAGTTAACTGGATCCCCGGAGATGAAAAAGGTAAAATGAATTAAAAGCAGGGAATTAAACAAAAAAATTTCAGTGCTGCCTCCTCCCTTTTAGATAGGTGACTGTGGACAGGGAAGTAATTAGTCGACACTGATAAGAGTCCACATCTAGCCCCTGACTTCTAACCACGAAGTTAGCCTTGTGCATTCATGGTGATGTTTAAAGTAGAGCAGTGGTAATCAGTCATACACCACTTTTTGGCATCAACGTCACAGGCTGGCAATTCTTGCCCTATAGCCAATAAGTTAACATCCCCTCCCAACAGATTTCACTATAGTATGTTAGCTAAGGGCTGTTCCAGGTGTTTGGAGTATAATAATAAATGAATTTTAAGCTAATTGAAGTCATATATTTTTGACTACACCAAATAATTCACTTAGAAGACTAGTGGCATTTTCTTATATTTATGCAGTCTTTCATTGTGGTTTGAACAATCATCTAGTAGCTTTACTGAGTAACAAGGAGATTTTGCCCCCTCCTTTTAAAATGAAGAATAGCAAGCATCTTTAAAAATTGTTTCTTAAATGACAAATTGATAGAACTTTAGAAACTAAAACAAAAATCCATATTCTTGTCTCTAAAGTTTCATATACAGGAGCAACTGAAGTTGAAAATCGATCTCACCAGTCTTATGTTTATACAGAGACAAACAATTTAAGTAATTTTCAATTAAAGATACCTATAGTAAAATATCAAGAAAATGAAATTATAGCATACCGATTTCTGATTCAGTTCATCACTAAGCATTTCATATTCCTTAGTTTTATCTTCAACTTCCTGAGACTTCTGGTCGTAATTGACAGCAAGTTCCTCTAAGGCTTGTAAAACTTCTTTTACTTCTTCTTTAGATGCATCATTTTCTGCTTGAAGGCGGTTCAGCTCAGCTTGCATATTATCTTGATCTCTCCTTGTAGATGCTAGAAGCTACATGAAGAATGATACAGCTTTTTTCAACCAAAATAAACAGGTTTCTTTAAAGAGTACCTATTTGTGTTATCATGTGCTAAGCACAAAGGGAATAAAAATGTGGAGTCTACAGAGTGTAGTGGCACTCATTTATTCAGTAGATTCTACGTCTACCATAGTGTATATAGGCACTGTACTCAAACAAATAAAACTCACTGCCATCCAGTTGATCCCAACTCACAGGGAATCTACAGGGCAGGACAGAACTGCACTCAAGGGTTCCCAAGAGTCTAACTCTACAGGAGCCTCATCTTTCTTCTGTGGAGCCACCTAGTGGTTTCACACCACTACTCTTGCAGTTAGTAGTCCAGCCATGTCCCATTATGCTACCTGGGCTCAAGAGACTGTACCAGACACTAGAAAAACAGAAGGGAAGTCAAATAAAGACTGCCTGTAAAGAACCTAGTAGAAGAGAAAAATCCAGTTGCCATCAGGTAGATTCTGACTCTCATAAATACCCTATGTACCAGAGTAAACAAAGAATTTTTAGTTGATTATTTTAATACCAAATCACCAGAGCTTTCTTCCATGGCAACTCTGGTAGATTCAACTCCACCACCCCTACCAGCCTCATGGTCAGCAGTCAAGCACATCAACTATTCGCACCACCCAGGAATTGCAGTAAATGAGTAACATGTACAAATACCTGTGATATAAGATGGAAATAAGAACCATAAATAAGGGATAGAATGTGACAGGTAACATGCTTGTTTGGTTAAGGAAAGGCAGCTATTTCTGGAGGGACAGTATTCATAGAGATGGTAGGAGCATTTAGAAATGTGTGCATGAGTCAATAAAAGGAAGACATGCTAATGGCATTTAGGAGTGGGGACAGGGTGTCCTTTAGTACACACAATAAAACACAACAAGGAACTATCCAACTCAAAATGTCACCAGTACCCTTTTGAAAAACAATGGTTTGAAGTTGAAATAATGAAAAAATGATCTGGCTACGATTAATCTGACTGGCGCCAGAGATCTAATGACTTACTTTTAAAAATTTAAGTTATATGTATTGTTTGGAAGCAAGCAAACAAAAAACAGCAAAACATTCAGGCAACAACTACAAAAATCCTAAATGGCTATGGAATATTCCGCATTGCTAAAAACAGATGAAACCTTGAAAACATCTTATGGTATGAACCAACCTGGAGAACATGATGTAAGTGCAATTAGTTAATCACCAAAGGCCAAATACTGTACGAGACAACCATGATAAGGAAAAAAAGACAAAGGGTTTCCACACCAAAAGGAACAGACTTTGGAGGTTGGAGGGAGGGGTTAAGGAGGAAGCCTAAGGCAGAGGGTATGAACTTGAGTGAAGGGCAAGATAGTCACCCACAAGAAGGAGAATAAGATCAAAGGAAAAGGGGTAGGGTCAGTTCCTGTGGGGTAGCAGATGCTGACAAGTAAATGGTTGAATACAAAAGCCATAATTTAAAATACAAAACCCCCACAGAATTCACAATTGTTTTGAAAAGAAATCCTACATGAGGGGTTTTCCATCATCCCTCTATAATGCCTGGTGAGATGAGGGTTCAAAATAAATGAGAAAAAAGATAACAGTTAAAGAACTAAGATGATAAAAGTAAAGATAGTAGAAATGAGCAAAACAGACTGATATGGTTGGAAAGGGTGAAGAAAAATAATTCGTATTCATGTGATATGTCCACCTGACAAGAATAAAGAAAATAGGCTTCAGACATTAACATTTTTTCCTTCCCTTAATAACCAATTCTATATTTGTTTGAAAATACTTTTCTTAAACGGATAGGCAGTCTAGGGTCACTCTAGGCCACTTCTGTACATGTCCCCATTCGATTCATTGGGGAAGTGACCCCTTCCATAAATGAACATTGGTTGGTTTTCTTTTGACGTCTGTTTAATAATAGCCAACTTAGAAACAAAAGACTAACACTGGATTGTGTTTGTGGAGATATGGTGATAAACATTGTGCTCCAATACAAAAGAAGTAGAAAATAAGAGTTAAAAAGCTGAGTAGATGTAGTTGAAGAATAAAAAAAGTCTTCTTCCAGTCACATGGATGCAAATTTTCAAAAAGGGAAAGGAAAAATAAAATGTTGAGAAAGTTAAATCTGCTTTTAATCTATATGCTATATTAATTTATCTACAATAAAGCACGCACATATTCAAGAAATTGAAAATTACATGAGTATAGTCTGAATGCTGTAGATTTTAAAAATCTTTTATATACTTAGATATTAAGGCCAAATTATAGTTTCCCTTGGAAATGATAGAAAAGGTATTCGTGCAACTTGCCTCTTCCTGATCCAACATTTGTGTCTTCAGTTTCTCAACCAACTGGCTTTGTTGATTAATTTCTTCATCCTAGAAATTTAAAGTACCAGTTAGCAAGACAATTCACAACTTCGCTCTCATGGTTTCCTAACACCAATTGTAAAATTAAGCAACAAAAACGTAAATAGATACAAAAAAAATATAAAGTGTTTTAAAAAATTTTGCAGCTCATTATTTTTCTAAAAAGTTCAAACTCAAACATGTTGCCATCGAGGCAATTCTGACTCGATTCTATAATACAGGGTAGAACTGCCCCCATGGGTTTTCTTTATGGGTGTAGAAAACTTCATCTTTCTCCCACTGTACAGCTGGTGGTTTCAAACTGCTGACCTTGAGGTCAGCAGCCCAAGTCTTAAACCATGACACCAACAGGGATCCTCTTTCTAAAAGATCAGTACATCCCCAAATCTTTCAAAGTCATTTTTCAGCTACTGTGAACCAGCCGTTTATGCAAGGATGGGACTACTGACTTAAAAAGAGAAAAAACAAACAAACAAACCCACTTTTTTTCCCTTGGCTTCTGTTTTTGCCATTACTTCTCTATTTGTTTCGTAATTTGGCAATTTTCACATTATTGGTGATACTGGTTTAAAAAAACCCAGAACATATTGTTTTCTTACTATTTTCTTCTATCTAATCTCTTATCTAAGAGATTTTTATTTGGGTTCAGAACCCTAGTTATCACTTTGGCTATCCAATGATCCCATTTTTAATAATGCTTTAAATCAAACAAAAATGCAACATGCTTAGTTTACATACAGAAGTTAATTCTATACTTCTGCTAACACAATTTTTTAAAGTTTAATCAAAGTCAAGAAATATTTATACATTACAAACTAAAAAAGTAAACTCATTGCCATGGAGTTGATTCTGACTCAGTGATTCTGTGGGACAAGGTAGAACGAACTGCCCTTGTGAGTTTGAGAGACTGTAACTCTTTCCAGGAGTAGAAGGGCTCCTCTTTCTCCCATGGAGTGGCTGGTGGTGTTTAACTAGTGATCGTGTGATTAGCAGCCTAATGTCTAACAACTAGGCCACAGAGCTGCTGCTTTAAAAAAAAAAATTTTTTTTATTGGGGGCTCATACAACTTCATCACAATCCATACATGCATCCATTGTGTCAAGCACATTTGTTGCCACCATCATTCTCAAAACATTTCCTACTTGAGCCCTTGGTATCAGCTCCTTATTTTTCCCCTCCCTCATGAACCCTTGATAATTTATAAATTAGCATTATTTTGTCATGTCTTATACACTGTCTGACGTCTCCCTTCACGCATGTTTCTGTTGTCCGTGCCCCAGGGAGGGGGGTATATGTAGATTCTTGTAATAGGTTCTCCCTTTCTACCCCACCTTCCCTCCACCCTCTCACCACTGGTCCTGAGGGGTTAATCTGTCCTGGATTCCCCGTTTCCAGTTCCTAGCTGTGCCAGGGTATATCCTCGCCACCAGGGCTTCTTAATACATCACAAAAAACTAATATATTGAGATAGGGGGAAAACCCCCCAAAAAAAACAAACCATAGATAATACCTACTTTGTCATCAAGTTGTTTGTATAATTTAGCAATTTCTTCTTCACACTTTCTTCTTTCTGCATCAGTAAAGTTCCCAGTAACCCCAATTGTGGCTGCAGGTTTGTCGTTGGTAATAGTTATATCCTTATCCACTGTGAAAGCTTCCAAGTTAGCTTTCTCTTTGTCAAATTGTTCATCAACAGGCACTGTCTCCCCTACAATAAGAGATAAGAAAGGTGAACAGCAACCATCACAAATTAGTGAAATTAGTCTAAAACTAATTTCAATTTCAGTCACTCTTACCACATTCCCTATCTTGCCACTTTTTGAGGTTGGAAACTGTGGAATTATCTTTGACTCTCCCTTCATCTTCTAATTATAGTCACCAAATATTTTAACTTTTACCATTTCTGCCATGGGTGACTTTATAGATTTCAGATTGGTCTCTATTATGTATTAAGTCATGCCAAAAGTTAATGTAAAAGGTTTTACTTGGTGGTCCCTAAGTGCTTTAAAAAGTAAAAATGGCTGTTCTGTATTTTCATTTACATCAGTACTCATTAAACTTCAAAACCAAAAAAGGCACATCTACCATTTCGCCATCTGTTGAGTTCATTTTCAAGCCACTGAATGGTGTTCCTCAGGGTCTTATTTTTCTCCTTTTCTCTTTCGTACTTCTTCTTCCATTGTTCTGCAGTTAACTCTACATTGACACAAACTGTATTCTTAATGGTTTTGGCCCTAAGTAATTAGAGAGAAAAAAAGAATGAAACAAAACAAAAAAAGGTTTTAAATTGATATTTATTTTTCCATATAATATGCATATTCTTCTTGCCTAGTTATCTTTAACTAAATATTGAAAGCTATGTAATTCAGATGTTTCTCACAGCCCAATTTAACTTGGGTTATCCTCAGCTTTTACAAAACAAAAGTCAACAACTTTATAAAGCTTTAAAAAAAAACAACACCAAAACTAGTATTTCCCCAATTAATTTGTGTATTTCCCCAATTAATTTGTAAGACTGAATTCAGAAATCATTGTTGAAGGTCAGCGATAAAGTCATCTTGATTCTAGGCTAACCATTCTCATACTACTTGAGCCTATCATGGTATGTTCACAGGTTTGACACAGGGTTCTATGTGTTAAACTTTTATGTTCTGATTCAAATGCTTCAACGCTTATTTTCAAACGCTGAAACATTTGAAACGTTAATTTTTTTAGTGAATTAAAGCTTCCTCTACAATTTGACTAAAGTAACATTTGATTTTAGTATATACTACACTCAAATCCAATCCAAAAAATAAACTTTGCCATTAACTGTTTCTCAATTTAAAGGGATATATTTATCACACTCACCCCAACCATCCAATGCCCTCAAGTCAATTCAGACACACATCGACCCAATACAGGATTTGAGGCTGTAAATTCTACAGAAGCCAATAGCCTCATCTTTATCCGGAAAAGCAGTTGGTAGTTTTGAACCAACTTTGTGGTTAGCAATTGGAATAACATCTGTTATCTGATATCGAATTTTATCTATTTTTCTTAAGATCTAAGAAAAAGTACACCCCCACCCTTTAGGCTTGGTATTTCTTAAACAACAAACCTTTGACCAAAAAGGAGTGTCGATTTTGTTTCAGACTCATTGTACGATGAAGGAGAGCAGCAAATTACAATAGTGGTTCTACAGTTACCACCTAGTGAATCTTGAAGGATCCTTGTCATTTTACTATCTCGGTATGGAACATACGTCTATATACAAAAAAGAAAACACAGGAAACTGAAGGGATTCTGAATCACTCAATTTGTTACATAAATCTGCTATTTGATGGGAATCACGATATGTAGACTATTCTGCCTCATAGTCACACCAGAGGACAGGGGAGAGAACTTTCCCGCAAGGTTTCCAACGCTTTACATCTCTAAGAAGCAGTGACCACAGCTTCCTTCCTGTGGAGCCAATAACCTTTTGGCCGGTGGTCGAGGGTTGTAACCACCATGCCAGCAGAGCATCTACAACATACTGTACTGATACAGTAAATTTCTAAGACAACTTACTTACACAAACGGATTCAAAGATAAATCTTTCTCACCCTTTCCAGCATGCACCTATCCACATATAGGCAGTCCTCAGATTATGAACGAAGTCCTGTTCCTGAACTTATCTTTAAGGTGAATTTGTATTTAAGTTAGACTGGTTAGGTACAGTTCTTAACTACTATCAGTTGTTAAATGTTTGTCCTAGTACATACTGTATCTTTCTATGCATAGTAAGCATTAAAGAAACATTTTTTAGATACACCAAAACATCTTCAACATAATACAGATGTAATCAATTCTGATGTCACTGAGCCATGAGAAGCAGAGTATAGGACAGATGGGAGGTGCCTGTTAGGACTTACTGCGCATGAGCCAGGATGCTGTGGTGGCAACGGCCAGCAATGAGCCCCAGATTAACAGTGCATTAGGCCAGGAGCTTACCAGCCCTCTGCTTTTGCCAAAGAGCAAGCTGGCAGCAGTGGCAGCCAACTCAGGAAAGACAGAGAAAGAGAAGTGAGGGAAGATGGGAGAGGAAGCCAGACAAAGAGGAAGAGGATGGGATAGAAAACGCAGGAATAAACTTCCTAAGAAACATAGAGACATGGATGGAAGGAGGGCTGTAGGGAGAAGTCAGGAGAGGTGGCTCACAAAGGGTTTCCCCCAAAGGGTTATGAAGAGAATGGTTATACAGTTGAAAAGTTTCCCCCACTAGGTGGGGGAGGCTGTGGTGAGGTAGTAGCTACAAAGGGCAGGAATTGGATGGCAGGAGGAGGAAGAGGGGAGTGGCTGTGGAGTGCTCAGCCAATGCACCAGTGCATGTCTGGACCTGTGATAACCAGGTGGCAGCACGACATTACCCCTGGCCTGGATCCAGCTGTTGAAAGGTACAGGGAAGGCTTTATAGGAGGGTGGTTTTTAACTACAGGTTGTATGTTAGTAAGATGTATGTAACCTGATGAAATCCTATATAAACTTTGATATTAAAATAATTCCCTCCCAAATAACAGCCAGGAAGGAGAAGGCTTGCATACTCACATTACCCTCAGCCAAAGCAGAAATGACATTTCCAAGAGCCGAAAGTGACTTGTTGATGTTCTTAGCTTCATCCAGCACAGCACCTTCAGCTCCAGTTTTACTAACCTAGTTTAAGATTTTGGGATAATAAAACAAAATTACAAGTGTTCAATATTTTGCTTGAATTTTCTGAAATTCAGAGTTTCACCTCTGAACTAGACCAAATCATGAACTGCTTCACAGTATAGTTTTCCAAGAGTTTACTGCAAGGCACCACTGTTTTTTGAGCACTATTCCAGAATTTTTGTCAAACAACAACTACTTGCATGAGAAGTGATTACAGAGACACCAAACTCTAGTTTGTGGTCTTGAAAACAAGGATAAATTAGAAACGAGGAGCTCTTTAAATTATGCTGAAGCATAATGTTGATGCTCTATCTGTCAGAAAAGAGTGACTTAGGTAAGTCTATAAAGACAGAACCTGGATCAATAGTCTCTGGGGGTATGGCAGGGGAGGTTAGGAGAAAATCAGGAGCTAGTAACAATTAGTATAAGAAGAAAACATTCCAAAATTGATGTGGTGATGATTGTACCACTCTTTTTAACATAACTGAACAACGAAATTAATGATATATTAATTATATGTCAATTAAATTGTTGAAAAAAACCAAGTTTAGTTATACCAGCAGGCTTGTTTCTTTAGAAAAAAAAAGGTTGGCTCAAGTAGAAAGCAAATGTTTTGAGAATGATGAGGGTAACAAATGCACAAATGTGCTTGACACCATGGATATATATATGGATTGTGATGAGTTGTACGAGCCCCCAATTAAATAATTTAACACCAGATCTCAAAATGAGTACATGAAAACACCCAAAACCCATTTGTCAATGAGTACACACAGTCAGTCTCAGGAACCCACAGGGGTCGCTATGAGTCAACACTGACTCCTTGATGGCAGCGCGTTGGCTTGAACGTTAGCTGGAGTAGCTGTGTGTGAATTCCCAACATTCAGAGACAGGCTTTAAAACATACATGTAAGAGTTTTGATTAGGAAAAAAGTGGTTTATCATTCTAGTCAGAAACTGCCTTAGGCAGAACAAAGAATATGGCTAAGAATTTTACCTTATTTTGGCACAGACTAGAATCAGATCATGTATGACTCTAACAATGAACTAACCATCGAAAGAAGCGAAACCAAAAGAGAAAGGACTAGTGGAAAGTTATCAGTTTTTAAATAGGTGACCCACTGCCAGTAATAAATTTTTTTTAAAAATTAGAAAAAAGGATACCTAATAGAATTCTTACAATAGACATATACTCAATACGGTTTCAATAAAAGCAAGTCAAAGAGTTTTGGTTGAAATGGATTATGGTACAAATAACACAGTAATTTGGAACTTATTAACTTATCTGAAAGCACTGGTGTTAATGGTTTTAAATCTCATCAATGTTTCCAGAGTCAATTTGATAAAAGTTTTGAAGATATGACAATGAATACTCTAAAGTATAAAGTCATGCTAAAATTTGCAAAAATGCTTAGATATCTATGAAAAAATATAAAGATTTTTACCTTTTCACTACCAGCTAAATCAACAAGATATAGTTTTCCACTCAGTTTTTGTTCCGTTTGTGTGTTTTCTTGTTTTACATTAATAAGAAATATACTGTGACTCCTAGAGCTATGTTCATTCATATCTGTAAAGAAATTACATAGTCAACTATAAGCAAACATAGGCTTCCTTTACTACTATCTCCAAAGAATTATTTTATAATTAATCAGCTGGATAAGCATATGTATTTTGAGGTTGTTTCGCATCCCCGCAGTGTGAATAAACATTCCAACTCACTTGTAACTGCTACATGTCTGTTGGATTTTCCTTCATCTATGGTATCCATAACTTCATCTGGACTACATACAAAACGCTCTGTGCAACCCTGTAAAACATTTTTTCTTAAATGTCAACAACCCTTAAAAAAGATAGGGCTTGTATAAACCATTCTACATAACGTTATAAATACCTTTACATAGGGAACTCGATTCTTGTCTTCGTGAACTGAAAGGTTGGTCTTTGAAACTGGGGAGAAAAACACCCTCTTTAAATCTTAGCAACATCCTCTTAAATTCAACACTGGCTATTAATTGCTTCCTTCTCCAAGCAGCATACAGACAACAGGTGAATTTTCAAAATTACCTCCCCCCTCCCCAAAATAAAGCAAGAATGCATGGAAATAATAGATTTATACAGAAACCAGCGGAGTGATATAGAATTTTAGGTCAAGTTCAACCTCAACCACACCCTATTTTAATTAGAGCTTTAACCAGAAGTGGTTCAATGATTTGCCCAAGAGTGAAGTATCAAACTGACAGCTGAGAGAAGACTAGAAACTGAGCATTTCCAACTCAGACTGACGTTCTTACTACTACTCAAGAAGGACCCACCCTATACACTGTAAACAAGTTAATCTGTATCTCAAAGATTTTAAACGAAGTATTCAACATAAAAATACTTATGGAAGTGCTATAATCATTTTAACTCCATGTAGTTTAGTCTCAAATCTACTACATAAAAAATAACAAGTGTAATTTTGAAACGATCAGAAAGAGGTCAACTTACCATCTAATAAGTCCCTAATCTTATCCAAATATATCTCAAAATATGAAACCTAAAGGTACAGAAACAAAAGGGTTAATAATCAACCTATTAGAATTATAAAATGATCTATTTATTCATTGAATATTTACTGAGATCTGAATGTCACGCATTTTCTAGACAAGGAGAGCAGCTAATCAGACATGGATCAGCTTCTAGGGGGAAGGCATAAATTAGCTAATCTTTAAATTACTAACATTAAAATCAATTTCCTCTTTATTATCTAAAATGAATCAGATTATTATTAGTAGGAACCTGTTGAATTCTGTAGTAAAACAAATCCCTTCCCTTATTTTATAGATAAGGAAGAGAGGCTTAGGTAACTTGTTTCAATTTACTAACCTTACTGAACTTTCAATGATACTTGTCCATAAAAATCATATAAAGCACAAAACCCCTACCCACGGACTTTACCTTAATATGAAATTCCAAATTTTCATCCATGGAATAAATATAATTAAAAATGTCTTGCACTATTCTTGGAATAATTCCCATGCCATCTGGATCATGAAGTTTACCCTAAACAGATGACAAAACAAGGTGTCTTAAACTAATTATAAAGCATGAGTTAAAAATAAAACCCTCAATCTACAATTAATAGAGGATAGGAATTGTAACTTCATCTTGGTGTAAATGGCTCTACAAATCCTAAATTACAAAAAAAGTTATGGTAAATTACACATAATAGTATATGGCTTCTCCAACAGATCTTTGATTTTTATTTACTGATAATCATCAAATCAAAATTTTCTACATACTTATTAACAGATATATTCTAGAAAAACGAATGCTTTATTCTGCATCAATCTGCATTTTCTCTTCTAATGGTAGTCAAGTGCCCACATACTAAGAATGCCCTTTTCTGACTTCCATGGTAGTAATGTTCGTATTATCAAAGAGCAACATGGGGGAAAGGGGCTGAAGAAAGACGGGGAAAATCACTCTGAATAGAATCATCAACTAATAAGAACTAAAATTTTCCTATATTACAGTGTGACAGAAAATCTGTTTAATAAAATCCAAAAATTTACAATGAACTAATTTTACATATAGCGAATAAGAGATTCTAAAATGTTATGTCTTGAAGATATTGTCTGTCACACACAAAAAACCAAACCCATTGTCATAGTTGATCCTAACTAATTTGCGCTGTAGGACAGAGTAGAACACTTCATCGGATTTGCAAGGCTATAATCTTTACAGAAAGAGACTGCCCCATCTCCCTCTCCAAGGCTGCTGGTACAACCCTCAAAGACAAAGGACCTTTCAATAAACAGTTGTGGCTTCACCACGGTGCCAGCAGGGCTCCCTTTCATGAAACAAAACTCTGTAAAAGTCCAAGGATAGGCATCCCTCATTATTCAAACTCAGGAAATGGTGAAATTCTCCCCAAGAGATGTTCACATCACAGAAAGCAATCAAGAACAAATAAAGGTAAGTTTTAAAGAATCCACAATGAATAAATTCATTGTACCCACTACAAACTAAATGGAGGCAGATATTAAATTTACCTCCATTGTGTGTGTCTTCCCAGAAGATGTTTGTCCATAGGCAAAAATTGTTCCATTGTATCCCTCAAGTACATCTATGAAAAAATCAGAGGTAATACTTTGTTACCGAAAGATATAACATATTTACACTTAGCGATACAGAAACCTTTTCAAAAAATCCATACACAAGTAGTCATTTTCCTTACACATGCATATAAAGTACCGTATGTACTTAAGTACACGCTGACCCGAATATCAGTCGAGGTGCCTAATTTTACCACAAAAACCACATTAAAAATGTGCTGAAAAACTTGGCTTATACAGGAGTACATACGGTAATCATTTGTGGGAAGAATGGTGAGAAAGATTCAGATTTCTTAAAATTCTCGAGAAAGATTTTGTCAAAGGCAAATTTTACAACATATAAGACTTACCAGACATTAAAAGACATAAATAGGAATTCCTTTAACTTTCTTAGTTGTAACTCATCAAAGTAATTACTTTCTCTCAGGCCCAGGTAGTTCTCTCTCAGGTAGTTCTTGTAGTCAATAAGAAATTTTAAACTATATTGCTTAAAATTATCTCATATGTCAATATATACTATATTCCAAAGGTGTGTGACCTCAAAGAAAAAATGCTTTTTCATCAATAGGCCTACAGATATAAATTATTTTTTAGAACCAGAACTGTTTTTAACTAATTAGTGATTAAACTCTGGAAATGTATACCTTTCTCCTTATTATCAGAAAGCTAGTGTGAAATTAACAAATCACCTAGTCCCTGTGTACCTCAAAATCAACCAGTGAAAAACTGGAGTAAGTGTGACACAATGAGAAAGGCCCCAGGGCATCACATTGTGAGGGTGCCAAACAAATGGCAGATGGTAACAAAGTAAAGCAGTAAACAAGCCAATATTTGTTTGTTTTTGTTTTTAAAAAGAAGGAAAATAAATTTTGATGCCAACACTGAGCACAACTAACTGAGGCAAGAGATTTACTAAAGCCCCACTGACAAGGAAGGAAGACAGGTATCAGTACTTCCTCTCCTGGGGTGATTTTTCTGAGAACCCAAACATTTGAAACTTTGATTCAAAATATCATTAGTTTTTTAAAAGAAATGCAAAATAATGTCATGAATCACACTTGAAAATAAATGAGGTGATAACACTATCAGTGATTCTGAATAAATCATTAGGTGTTTTTATAAAAAGCATAAAAATTCTTTCTAATTACCTCAGTATTTTTTAAAAATCATTTTATTGGGGCTGGCTCTTACAGCTCTTATAACAATCCATGCATCCACTGTGTCAAGCACATTTGTACTATGTTGCCATTTTCCTTTTCAAAACATTTTCTTTCCCCCCACTTTCCCTCTACCCTCATGGTATCCCTACTCCCATTACTGTTCCTGAGGGGTTCACCTGTCCTGGATTCTGTGTCTGAGAGCTCTGATCTGTACTAGTGTATATGCTCTGATCTAGTCTCATTTGTACGGTAGAACTGGGGTCATGATAGAAGGGGTGAGGGTGTTACGATGCATTTAAGAACTATAGGGGTATTGTGTGTTTCACACCCTGGTTGGCTCGTCCTTTCCTTGTGATCCTTCTGTGAGGGGATGTCCAATTGTCCAGATGTCCAGATGGGCTTTAGGTCTCCACCTCATTCTCATAGATATAATTGTTGTTTTGGGTCTTTTGATGCCTGATACCTGATCCTGTGGATACCTCTTGATCACATGGGTTGGTGTGCTTCTTCCATGTGGGCTTTGTTGCTTCCCTGCTAGATGGCCGCTTGTTTATCTTCAAGCCTTTAAGACCCCAAACGCTGTATCTTGTAAAAGTTGGGCACCATCAGCTTTCTTCACATTAGCTTATGCACCCATTTTGTCATCAGCGATCATATTGGGAAGGGAACATCACAGAATGCCAGGTTATGAGAACAAAATGTTCTTGCATTGAGGGAGGATTTGAATAGAGGTCCAATGTCTGCCTGCTACTTTAATACTTTTCATATAGAGTATGTACACAGATCTATGTCCCCATAGTTATTTTGTAAGTATATTTACATACGTACATGCCTGTATTTATATCTCTATAAGTGTCCTTTGCCTTCTAGTTCTTTCCTCTATTTCCTTTCACTTTCCCCTTGTCCCACTATCATGTTCGACCTTCATTCGGCTTTCAGTAATTCCTCTCGGCCACAGCGGTCTTGATCAAACCCGACAAGTCATTCTATGCCTTACTCGCCATTCTTTCCCAGTATTTATATTACGCTCTCTGTGTAAGATCTTTGAATCACCCCTATGAAACAAGTACAAAATCCTAATTTCTTAGTGTTGGTAGTTGTGCAACATAATGAACATAAAAAATGTCATTAGATGTTACTTGTAAAAAAAATGCTAAAAAATGGCTTTTACACATTTTTATAATCTATTGTCATCATAATAAAAATACAAGTTTTATTAGATCTATAAACCCTATAAAATATTCATATGTTCCAATTATTCTGTAACTAACATAATCCATAACACAAACGCACTGTCATCAAATCAATTCCAACACTGACATTATAAGGCAGGGTAGAACTGCCCCTGTGGGTTTCTTAGACAGTAGTTCTTTACGGGAGTAGAAAGCCTCACTTTTTTCTCGCAGAGTGGCTGTTTGTCAGTTTTGAACTCCTGAACTTTTGGTTAGCAGCCCAGCACTTAACCACTATACCAATAGGGCTCCTAACTAATAGGTCGGTCTTCAATAAATATTTGTGAATCTGTACACCAGTTAATACAACAAATGACTTTCCTAAGGTTTTATTAGTAGCATATGTGTCTGTGAAACAGTAAGTCTGTTATAAAACTATAGTAGTATATATGAAGGCTCCTAAGAAACCAAATGTACATAGCACATTTGTACCTAATATTTAGGACTTTAATCATAATTTTGTAATTCTAAATAGCAAAGAGAGTGGAATATTCAACATTCAAATATTTACTGTGCACTCACTATGATGAGGAAGAGATTACAAAAAACATGACTATGGACGAATCTACCTAAGTCATGTATTGCTATAATAGCACTTTTTTTTCAACTGGCAAAATCACTTTACCCCCACTTTCAAATTCTTACCTGATCTGCTTTCTATAGTGATGTATCCCCAAGGTTTTATTATAAAATACTTTATACAGAAAAGTTAAATAAATTTTACATAGATTCGACCATTAACATGTCACCATTTTACTCTTGCTTTGATAACATATCCATCTATCCCTCTATCCATCCACCTTATTTTTAAATAATTTCAAAGTATATATAATTGCACTGCCCTTTTAAGTATTTTAGCATATATATCATTATTTAACATTTATTTAGCTCTTTGATCTGAGGAAAAACTAACATTTATGTGAGGAGTGTTTTAAAAATACAAATGATATTAATCTATGAGAAAACCTTAGTGAGCACACATCTATAACCACGTAAGACTAAGTACTTATAAAAAAAGACTAGGTACTTTTGAACAGGCTCTTGTTGACTTTTTTAAGCTCCATTTCCTACCATCCTTCCCCTCACATTCTCTTATTCTTTTATTAGTTGGACTAAATGAAATTGCTGCTTTTGTTGGTGAAGGGGGTTCAACCTAAGAGTCATAGCACAATGTATGTTCTCCATACATGCAAACTACAGTCCTCATATGGGCATGCCTCCGCCCAAATGTGTCATCTCTGCCTGGAAGGCACCCCTCCTGTTCCTTCCTACTTTACCTGTGCATCCTTTAAACTAGCGCAGGCTTTACTTCTCCCTCCATAACCTAACTCCCAAATAAATCTGAGTAAAATTCCCACCCTGTGTGCTTATGTGGTATTGGCATTTAACCATAGCACTTATCACTCACTGTGTATTATAATTCCCAATTTATGTATCTGCCTTCTACACCAGGCTGTGAAGTCCTGAGGGACTTGTGGGACAATATCAAGTAGACCGACATTTGCATTATGGGAGTGAGTCCCAAAATGAAAAAGAGTGGGTGTTTCAGAAACACCATTTCAAACAATGGCTAAACAATAACCCCACCCCAAGTTAACAAAAGACATAAACCTACACATCGAAGAAGCTCAATGAAAGAATTTCAATTAGGCTAAATCCAAAGAGGCTCACGGTGAAACAAGTTATAATCCAACTGCTCAAAACCAAAAATGAAGAAAGGAAGCATTATATATACATCTAAGATGAAGTGCTGATTTTCCCCTCAGAAACCATGACAGCCAAAAAGCTGGGAGGTGTGATATTTAAAGTGATAGAAAAAAAGAAGCACCAAACAAAAATTCTGCATCTGGTAAAGCTGCCCTTCAAGAAACGAGGATGAAAACAACACATTTTAAGACAGATAAAAGCTGGGGAGGTTGCTCTGAAATCTGCACTAGAAGAAATCCTAAGGGAAGTCCTTTGCGTTAAAATGAAAGGACATTAGACAGTTACTAAAATCTGCATGAAGAAACAGATCTCCAAGAGAGCTAGCCTAATGGTTCAACACAAAGGCCAGTTTTATTATATTTTTGGTTTGCAATACTACTTGGTTTATCTTAAAAGATATAAAAGGCAAAAAACATAAAAGAATCTTTATAAGTTTGTTATTAGGAACAATATATAAAGATGTGATTTGAAATAATGGTGACATAAAGGGGGAAGGAGTGGCAGAGGTTTTATGGTACTGGAGTGAAGCTGATATCATTCGAGTCCATGCTGACTCAGTGACTCTTATAGAACTGCTCCTCTGAGTTTCTGAGACTTTATAATCCCCATGGTAGCCACAACAAAAATATCTAAAAGACTAAACGCATAGTGACAAAAGTTAATCAGTGATTATCCAGAGGCTTCCCAGAGGCTCCTGGGAAGGGAAAATGGAAAGTTACTGCTTGAGGAAAACTGAGTTTGTTTGAGTAAGTAAGGAAAAGCTTTACAAACAGATAAAGGTGACAGTTGCACAACATAGTGAATAACACGATATTAAAATAATTAAAACTGGTTCAAATGGAGAAGTTTTTGTTGTATAAATTCTATTACAGTGAGGTAGTTTATTGTGCCCACCTGGCCGATAAACAGAGGTGGGGTTAATTGAAGAGCGGAGAGATAAATGGCTCAGTAAGCCTTGCCTTTCTAGTTCTTGGGTCTCTTGTTCTCTGATGGTCGGACCGGGGTGCAGCTACCTGCAAGACATCCCTGAGGAGAAGCCACATAGACCTACTCCGATACAGCCCTGGGTACTGAAGCAGTCATGTGGAGACCCCTGCCAGCGCAGAGATGCTTACACATTCATTGACTCATCATGCAGTCGGCATCATTGCACCTGTTTTGTGAGATGGAGGAGGACTTTGTGGATTAGTGTCGGATATATGGGTTAATGTTGGACTTGTGGGTTTGGGCAGCACTGGGTTGGGATGTTTTCTTGATGTGCACTTAACCTTTATATAAAACTCTCTTACAACTCTCATCACAAT